TTCAGTGAAACCAATGAAAATAGGGGAACAAAACTGAGAACATACAAACTATTCAAAGTAAGTTATAATATGGAAAATTATTTGCAAAACATTTCAAATTTCAGCCTCAGGAAAATGCTTTCAAAATTCCGTCTGAGTGACCACAACTTAGAAATAGAATTAGGTAGAAGAACAAAGCCCAAAATAGAATTAGAAAATAGACACTGTAATAAATGTAACACTAAAGCATTAGGAGATGAAAAACATTTCCTGCTATTTTGTACTGGCTATATAGAACAAAGAAAAAAACTGTTTGATGAGTGTGCAATAAATATTTACACAATGGATGTAAATTCCATATTTAAAAAGATTATGGAGAATAATATAGCCTTAGCAAAATACTTAAAGAGCACAATTTTTAAAACCACAGAAAGTAATTAATTTATTTTTTCTTTTATTTTACTAACATTTTATTTTTATCTTTTATGTATTGTATGTTACCATACAAAAACCCTCTGAAGGTTTTTAGTAGTGTAATAAATAAAGTTAAAGTTATATATATACATATTGGCAATAAACGCTGACCAGCAACTTCCCCTGCATACTTCACCAGGGGTATTTGTGTATGCAAATTAGAAGCTAATGAGAGGCCTTGTTTTAAAATACTTAAAAATAAAATTGGTGTAGATTGAGTTTGAAACCCATTTTTTCACTTTAAAAAATGAGTTTGTACTTGGAAACATAAAAAATAATAATATTGAGAAAGTAGCAGACATTTCACAGGCACTTTAAAATAAATGGTACAATTTATTTTGATTTCAACCTTCCATTGTATCCTGAGAAGCGGTTTTTGGAACATTTTTATTATTTCCATGCAAAATTTCAACACTAAACAGATATCTAAGCCGTGTAATAAATAAATATAAGTAAGCAATTTTTTTATTTATTCTGCTAGCCATACAGTACTTAGATGACCAGCCTCTTGCGCACTGTTTGAACCACAGCCACTTGAGGGCTGAAAATTAATAAATACAATTTTTTTTTTTTTTTTAATTAGTATTTATTAATTTTCAGCCCCCAAGTGACTGTGGTTTGAACTGGAGCGCAGTCAGCTGGCCAGGTGGAAGGTACCCAGAAACCTCGCTAGCTCTCTGGAATTGGGTTAACGTCTCAAGCACATACACTCGAATCGTTGCGTCCGACTGTAGAGTAAAAATGTACTACTCTATTTATATAAGCACGGTAGTATAGTACAGCACATTATTTATTTTGACTGTCATTGAGTCAAACCACAAGGATTCGAGAGCCCGTCGTCTCAAGTCAAGTTCGGCCGTTGTACGGTAAATATAATGAATAATTCAGGCTGTGCTTCAATCGTTCGATGGAATAATATGATTCAGTTTACCCGTCTCACCTGTCATGTCCTATGAATGATCAGATACACCATATATGCCCACTCTTTCAAACCAAAACAAACCCATGCAAAAGTTGATAGGTTGCTACACAAAACACGCCATTTTGAATACTTTTCGATTAGCATGATGGGATTAATGTTAACACGCCCTCTACGTCCATAGCTTATTTTGCTTCATTCAAGTACCACAGCAGTCAGCACGCGTTGGCAAAGCATCCATCACTTCTCGGTTGACTTCGGAACACACTCGAGAATGGTCTGGCGAATCGCTGTACAACTACACGTCATCACTAATTGGCTATCTCAATAATATGATTGGTAGTCAGACTGCCATATGATTGGTGGTCAGTTTATTGAATATACCACTCCAGACTGTCATATGATTGGTGGTCAGTGTATTAATAGATCAATTCAGACTGTCGTATGATTGGTGGTCAGTGTATTGAATATACCACTCCAGACTGTCGTATGATTGGTGGTCAGTGTATTGAATAGATCACTTCAGACTGTCATG